TTGTGCGGTGTACTCAGTATGAGATTATGTGATAAGACTAAGAAGCTAGGCTTCCTTTTGGGTGGGGCTGGAGTATTTCCTGTTTGGAGGCTAAATCTTCGGAAATCAGAATTAATTTTCTAAAACATACCACATTGAATTGAGCCCCAGAGACATGTTTTTTTTTTTTCTGTTTGTAGTCTTTTCCTTTCCTTTTAATAATAGGAGACATAAAAATTCTCACTTTGCTATCTTCCTATTCTTAACTTTTCTTGGGGGAAATCCAGTTAGAAAATACGAAGCGTGGAGTCTCTTTATCAAATTCTTCATAGAAAAAATGATCTGAGCCAGCACCACAGCAGTCAACATCTGTTGTCTCTGAAAGGAGACCACAGCGGTAATTATGCACGGGGTAAGTTGCATAAAAAATAAATTGATCAATTTAAAAAATTAGGTGTGGAGAATAAAAAGGCACCTGAGGACTTTTTACAGTTTTTGTGGTACAATCAGCTGTATCCAAGAGAGCTGCTTTATAATGTGAATATTCTTAGCTTCAGCCCCACATATTCTTCAGAATTAACTATCATAATCCCTTTCATTACTCTAAAAGAGTCTGATGACTCTTTTCCCAGGTGAAGTCTCCCTCCCAACTCCCCTGTTAATAGTTTGGGACCTAATGTGACAGTAGTACTTGGATACGGGGTAGACTAAGAAAATAAAATAACTTAAGAAGACTTTTTATATACCCATTTATTCTTCCTCTTTATTCCCCTTAAAATGAAAATACTGAGACTTTCTATTTTACATTTATGAAAGAAGATAGCAGTGCAATTAGTAGGAGGACCATGATCCTTGGATTCAAATCTCAGCTTCAACACCTAGTAGTTGTATAAATGGACTTCTCTGCATATCAGTATCCTCCTGATAACTACTTTGCAATTTCTCTGGCCATTCGTATAAACAATAGATATTCAAGTATAGCTGTTATTGCTATTATCATCCATTACCCTGACCTACAGAAATACACAACTTCCTTGAAAAGTATACATTTTTGGAGAGTAATCAGGGATGAATATTATTATACTTTAATTTTTTCTTTTTTAGTTTCTTTTGCTTCATTCCGTATATGCATGTGTGCATGTATTTATGATTATGAATGTGTGTGTGTATGAATTTCACATAATGCGTGTTAGGCACCATTTCAAGCATTTTGATAATATTAATGAATAACACAGATAGAAGATTCTACCTGCTCATGGAGCTTACATGATTGTAGTAGGTATAGATGGAAGCTGATAAATTCTGTGGAAAAGTGAAGCAAGGGAAGAGGGAGAGGGATTTGGGAGTGGGTTGCACTTATAGATAGGGAGGTCAGGGTAGGCCTTAGTGTAAATATGACACTGGATTTGTGTTCTTAGGGGTTTTCGTGTACTATCTTTGAGAATGGAGAATGGGGAGAAAGGAGATGAGAGCACAGAAAAGAAGAGGAACCTGTTGATTTGTAGGAGAACTTGAGTATTTCCTTTGTGTAACATGTGTCCAACACAAACTACTATAGATGAGTGAAGCCTTCCAGGTGGCCTCATTTTATCTTATTCAGTTTGAGCAAAAATCTTCTTTAAATGCTTTTTCTACATACCCTGAAAGATGGATACTGAACACAGTCCACTTGGTCTGTGACTGCTGCCGGAGGGCATCACCATGACTCTCGCGTCTGTTGCTGAACTGTCATGAAGCAAGGTCCTCAGGGCCAACAGAGTTGTTTTTGGCTCTTTGCCTACGTAATGGCTGAGTCTGTAGTGGTTGTGAGTTCTACATCGTAGCTACTACACACATATGGCTATTCAAATTAAAATAAGTGGCATTAAAAATTCAGTTTCTTAGTCACATTAATCACATTTTAAGTGCTTGAGAGCCATACGTGACTAATGGCTACTGCATTAACACAGAGAGAGAACATTTCCAGCAGTGCAGAGAGTTCTGTCAGCATTTGTTATTTTACATGTTCCTATCTCTGACATTGTCTTTTCTGGTACTATCAGCTTCCAACTGTATCTCTTCCTTTTGATTTGTTGTTTCTCATGGTTTATAGGTTTAAATACTAGATTTAGAATTTTGTGTGAAGTAAGGGTGGAGAGTCTCTCAGAGAGAGCAGAGGAGTTTTCTTATATTCAAGTCCTTGAGTTTTCAAACTTAGAATTTATATTCCTATTCTGACTGCCCCAAGGCCTTTTTCGCTTGGTTATTGTTATGCAGCTGTGCTCTGTGTGGTAAGAGAATCAGATGCTGAGTTATTATGAGAGAAGTGCTATCAAACTTTAAAGGTAAAATTGTACTTTTATGGAAATGCTTTAGACCCAGTCAGTGGTACCCTACTTGGAGCAATGCTATTCAAGGAGTGTTTATTGACAGACTGTCTATGCATACGCCAAGCACTGTGTTAGGCCAGGGGATGCTAACAAAAATGAACGTAGCTCCAGTCCCTGAGATCACAGTTTACGTGGTGGAGAGAGTCATAAATAGGCCGAGTTGCAATTGCCCAGTGCCCAGGTAGGCCCAGGATGCTCTGAAAGCCCAGAGGAGGATGATTCATAAGCCAGCCTTCCCTGGGGGTGGTAAGGAGGGAAATGAGACAGGAGATCAGAGGCCAGGGGACTTCTCCTAAAGAAGAGATTCTTAAATGGCATCCTGAAGGATAAATGGGTGTTAGTCACATGATGGAATTAGGAGAACGAGATCAACAAGACGTGATGTACGGTAGTGTGAACAAAGATGCTGAGGAGTGAACTGGCATGGTGAGAACGGGAACTTTAAAGTGTATTTTTGATGGAAGTTGTAAGAAAAGGGAGATTGTCTTTGTAGAGAGAGGCAGGCTTTGAATGGTGTGTTGAAGTGATGGTTTTCAGCAGAGCTGGAGAGGGGCAGGGCAGGGGTAGTGACCTAGGCTGATCTGACTTTAGTTCAGATTAGTGCAGGCAGCTCTGTGGAGGTGAAGTTTGGGGGAGATGGGCTGGAGGCTGCTACACCAGTGGTGTTGGGTGGGTGGAAGAGAGAGAGCCATAGCAGGCTCTCAGGCCAGAGGTAATGAGGGCCTGGTGTGAGAGAGTGGAACAGAGGACCTGGGTTCAGTCAATGTTTAAGGCCTGAAATTATGAGTATTTGAGGATCAATTAGATGTGGGGACTGAGGGAAAGAGGAGTCAGAGATAACTCTAAGCTTTCAGGACACCAGTTAATTGAACTTTTCTTCTATGTTTACAGCCTAGGTTTTGACCCACAGCTTCTACTAGTGATTTGCTTTGGTAACGGTGGTGTCTAAGATGGGTTTTGGCTGTCCAGGACACCATCACACTGTCATTTGTTAAAAGAACTTAAAGCACAGACCATAGTGAAGTACCACCCTCCTATCACTTTAATTCTGCAGCAACCTATGAAAGTTTATAGAAATTCAGCTTCATTTCTAGTGGCTCCGATCCAGATGCCCAAATTACCCCATTGCTGGGACAGCCCTTAGGTGGACCATTGAATCTGTTACTCATTATGAACAACTGAAAACCATCAGCAAAATTCTTGTATTATGCCAACAGTAACACTAGTCAAGTATTAAGGTAGGTTTTGGAAAGTTATGAATCTCAAAATCTGTCTAGCTGAACTCTTTTTTGTATGTTTATACATATTTATTTATCATGTGGAAAAGCTAGTGGCTTCCTTTTTATAATTGTGCATTACTCTTTTTTTAGGTTATAAATTAAATTCTGAGTTCTGACTGTTGGTGGAGACATGCTTATGAGATCTGCAGTCATTCACTTTAAAGTAAAAGTACAAATTGAGTCCAGGTAGGGGATCCAGAAATAGGAGTGGAGCCAGCCCAAAGGGTCCATTACAATGGGGCCTATATCGAAAGCAAGAATTCTCACATACCTGCAGTGTCTTTTAAAAGGATTTTCCAAGTAACAGTTAATATTTTAATGCCATCTGCTAACCTTCCAGGAAAACCTAGTTCTCTCTTTTGCAAGATTAAGGAACCATGCCAAATACATGTTGATACTTCTGTTTTTACCGATGTATTTCATGACTGCATGACTAAAGCCACAAAAGAGTAGGCAGCAGGTACTTTTCATAGTTTTATTTAGTCACTGCACTTGGCCTTTGACGCTGACTATCTTCTCCTTGTCACTCAAACTGCTCCATCAAATTACATCTTCACTAGTCTGGCAGTTTTAAATGACTTCTTGGAGGCTCTGAAATGCTGCTCCCTAATCGGGAAGATCTGGGCGAGTCTTGTAGGAGGAAAGATGGCACATCTCTTCCAAGTGAGACAACAGCATTATGGGACAATTACATAACATCTTCAGAAGTTTTATCTGGAGAATAGCATTGTGTTTGGTGATGAACAAGTACTGTAAGTTGAGAAGCATAAGTTTTCATATTCTTTAAGAATATGGGATAAAGGAGGAAAGAAAGCAAGCTGACTTTTTGTAGTTCCTGGTAGAGGTTACATTAACTATTTGTCAAAAGTTGGATTTTTGAAGATTCTTGGCTCCTAAGAACATTTGTCATATACTGCCATTTTTGTATGCTGTCCATGAAGACTGTTTAATAACATATCAAAATAACTTTATAAAAAGATAAGTATGTGTTTCATTAATCCCAGTGGGAGCTTTGTAAAGTGCATTTTCTTTATAAGTAATTAGTGTCATTCTGTGAACTCATGACTTCTTAGGGTGGGAAAGAAAGGGTAAAAAACTATCTTTTCAAGCAATTTGTGATTTAGTACCAGCTGGTCAAGTGAGTTGAAAAACCTTCTGAGTCATATGTCCTATTATTTTGAATGCCTTTTCTCTCCCTTGGGAAACTGACTAACCTCTGCAGTCTCTCTCCCATGGCAAATCACTCTAAAACTTTGATCTCCTCAAAGCAGTTTGTCAGATGTAGCAGACAAAGCATGTGTGACTTTTCTGTGCCAATTCAACCTGGCCAGTCGGAAACCATAAATTAAGTCTATATGACTTTTATTTCTAGGCATTACGGCAGAAGTTCTGGTGGTGACCTCTTTCGAGGAACTGCAGAGAAGGGCCCCAGAAGCAAGAGGCAAGATTGTTGTTTATAATCAACCTTACGTCAACTACTCGAAGACAGTGCAGTACCGGGTCCAGGGGGCAGTGGAAGCTGCTAAAGTGGGAGCTTTGGCGTCCCTGATTCGCTCAGTGGCTTCCTTCTCCATCTACAGGTTGGTCATGGTGTTCAATTGAAATTCTTTAAAAAACCAGGATTGTCCATGAAAGAGGAGCCCTTATGAAATAAAAACAAACCATTCAAATGAAAATACTGATTGTTTATGGAACTTTTCCCCATTCCATATTCGGTCATTTGTTTGTAACATCTTCTTTAGCCTTTTTAGGATTCCAAGCATTATTTGTACATTCTTTTAGAAAGCTTTCCACATCTTTGATGACCCCATAACATTCCTTATGTAACCAATATGTTATGTATTTTCATTGGAGGGAGAACTGAATTCACGTCTGTGTTTCATCAAAGACTCTTCATGACTTCAGAGGAAGCCAGGCCTTTTCCCATTGTTGCTAGAGAAGTGAAATAAAAATAAAGTGGGTAACATGATGGGAGTTGTCTGTGGTCTAGTGGAAAGAGAGGAGGAAGCAGAGGATCTTGGATATAGACCTGGTTCTGCTCCTAAACAAGCATGTGGCCTTGGGAATGTTCTTAAACTCCTTGGGTCTCGCCATTCTCTTCTGTGAATCAGCGATGATGAAGAATTTAAATTTACAATGTCTCTTTGAGAATAAATGAGAGGAACTTATGAAAGATACTTGGTTTTCTGCAAAGGTCTATATAATGTTTTGTGGTATTCAACAGCAACATAAGTTTTTTCTTTTTCTTTGTAGTTGTGGTTGAGGTAACTGCAAAGTGCTTTATTGACTCTCAGTCTTAGGATAAAATTTAGCATTGCAGTAGGTAAAAGTTCTAGGACTTGACCTATAGACATTTGGCCTAGTTTAATAGCTACATATGGTAGTGTCACACATTGAGGGTGAAGTATTTGATGGATATAAACATGGATAAAAGAAGTACCCCCTTCTGCTCGTAGTCTGTTCTCCTAAAGATAGAAAAAGAAAACAAGGTATGCAGAAACAATTGCAAATGGGGCTTATTTGGGTTTCAAGAACAGATTAGTATCTATTGTAAAGGAGGGTTTATTTATTCTACACAATTTTTGTTTGGAGATGGAGACACAGCTGCTTGACCTTAATTAGCACCCTGAACCCTTGAAAATAATATAACTGAGGAGACATCAGCAAATAGAAAACCAAGTCAGAAGGGAGTTGTCCAAAAGCACAAAGAAAAAAGGAAAGGGACATTTTTCTTTTATGGGGATAAGATATCTTCCAGGGAGGAAGGTGGGACATGTTAAAACCATTTTAAAAAGTTTTATAAGAGAGGAACTAGTTCCACTGATGTCATAGTGCTAAAATAACGTTCTATGTAGAGACTAAAGGTTTGGGGACTAATGAAATAATCATTGGACCATATTCTTTTGAATGGTTAATCTTCCCGGGAGGGAAGTCCTAAACTGACTAGTTTCCTTCCCAGAATACCTCAATCGCCGCTTAGAGTAACATACTCCTCAGCAAGCTGTGGCCATTCACTATGATTTCACTGGTCATGAGATCTAAATTATGGAGTTAGTCTGTTGCTTTTTGAAATTGGGTAATTGCCAAAAATATTTATTTAAGGACTACTATTCATAAGACTAATAAACTCCCAGATGACTTAGTGTACTGCCAGGGTTAATTGACATTTTTTTTTCTGTTATAATGAAGATGTCTGGGAACCAAGGCTATAACCTAAGAGCCCCAGAAAAATTTTGCCCAGCATAGGATGTAGACATCTATTGTTAGCCTCTAACATTTGGGGTCAACAACTTATAGTTGTATATTAAAAAGACATCTTTCTTTTTCTTCATATTTCTAGATCTAGACTGATTATAGTTTTTCCTTGATTTTATAGCTAACCATATTTCACTGGACTCTTGACTCTTATAACTTCATATTTTTGACATTTATAAATACATAATAACATTGCCCTTTACACAGTACTTTAGAATCTTTCACATATGTCATCTTACTTGTTCTGACGACTTAGTGAACCAAGCAGAAGGGGCATTATTATTCCCATTTTACAGATAGAGAAATTAAAGTTCAGACAATTCAGCATAATACCATGTTTAAATCCTACATCCTGAAAAATAAAACCAAAATGAAACAAACTCTGCCTCTTTGTCCACTTCTAGCTAATTGTTCCACAGAGCTAATTTTCCTTAAAGAGTATTTTATGTTCCTGTCTCCATTTCTTCATCCGTCATTCACTCTACAGACCATTTTTATTTTATTTTATTTTATTTTTATTTATTTTTTTAAAAGATTTTATTTATCCATTTGACAGATCACAAGTAGGCAGAGAGGCAGGCAGAGAGAGAGAAGGTAGGAAGCAGGCTCCCTGCTGAGCAGAAAGCCCGATGCGGGGCTCAATCCCAGGACCCTGGGATTATGACCCGAGCTGAAGGCAGAGGCTTGAACCCACTGAGCCACCCAGGCGCCCCGACAGACCATTTTAAAAAAATTTTTTTAAATTAAATTTTATTTTTTTTCAGTGTTCCAAAATTCATTGTTTATGCACCACACCCAGTGCTCCATGGAATATTCTACAGACCATTTTAATCTGGCTTTGCCAGTATTGAAATGGAACCTGTTAAGGTCACAAATAGCAGCCCAACTTGTCAAATCTAATGGACCTTTTCCAGGCCATCATCTTACTTCCCCTCTCTGAAGCATTTGTCACTGCTAACTGCTTCCTAAATACCTCTTCTCTTTGGCTTCTGTCACTTCTTTCTTATATTCTCTTTCTTGCTCTCACCCCTTCCCATTCTCCCACTTTCCCTCTTCGTTTTCCGTTCATCTGGCTTCTCACCTGAACATTCTACTCAAGCATTCCTTTATGCTTGTGACTTCAGCCACCATCTCCACTGTGACACCTTTCAAACCCACCTCTCTTTCCCATACTGCTGCCTGAGCCCTAGGCCCTTATATCCCAGTACCTCCTGATACATCTTTCAGATGTTCCACAGCTATCTACACTGCACTTTTCTTCAAAACAGAACTCATCTTTTTACCTCTTTATCCTGAATTTCCTACCTCAGGGAAGAGAGTATCATCTATTCTGCCTCCTAAGTTAGAAGGTTCTTGAGTACTTTTTCCCTCTTCCCGTATCCATCGTTTCTGCTAATTACTGTGTCTCCTGGGCTCTGCTCTTAGTCGTTTCAACAAACACGTATTTAGTAGCTCCAGTTCCCAACGTTACTGCACACTCTAGTAGTTAGGAGTCACTAACACTTTCCTGATGTACCACGTTTCCTCAAGGCTTCATGACTTTGAATATGCTTTCCCCTTGCAGCCTTCTGTCCTCTTCCTCACTGTCTCATGCCGCCCTTCAGGATTCGTCTTAAGTGTTTCTTCTTCTGAGGAGCCCTCTCTGATACCTAACTCCAGCTCAGGCGAGCACGTCTTTCTTCTCACACCATACCGTGCATACTCTGAATCATAATGTCTTGGAATAGTTGTGGTTCCTGGTGTGGTAGGGGACACTGACTCTTGTAACGACTTCAAGTCTCAGTCCCTTAACACAACAGCAGCTGGTTGACTGCTCACATGATGGTTCCAAGAAGATGTTCAGCAGGTGGCCTTCTGCTCTTTCCCATCTTGTGACACCATAACCTCTAAGATCTCAGAGTCCTCTTTTGCATCCAGCTGGCAAGTAAGAAGATAGAGAAAGTCAATAATCAAATGGGAGGTTTCCATGGCCAGGTCTGAACACCGTATACTTTATTTACTTCTACTCAAATTTCACTGCCCAGAATGAAGTTATTTGGAGGCTGGGAAATTTGGTCTGTCCTTATGCCCTCAGAGGAAGTAAACTGTCCAGTCCATCCTAATCACCTCACTCCAGTCTAAGTTCCAGACAAACATGAAAAAGAATATATATATATATATATATATATATATATATATAATGTATATAATATATATATTTAGTGGTGTAATTAATATATTTAATATATACTACATACGAAGTATATTTGATATATACTATATTATAACATACTAAATACTAGTACATTATAAAATAATATATTTAATATATACTATATATGTGTGTATATATATATATACATATATATATATTTAATACCTCTCTATCTCCATCATCTAGTATGTTTGTTATGTAATAGTCACTCAGGAACTGTTCTGTTGAAGGAATGAACTTGTTTGAAATTGTATGGTCAGTGGTAGCAAGGCTTTTTTTTTTTTTTTTTAAAGACTTTACCTATTTATTTGACAGATAGAGAAATCACAAGTAGGCAGAGCAGCAGGCAGAGAGAGAAGGGGAAGCAGGCTCCCTGCTGAGCAGAGAGCCCAATGGGGGTCTCAATCCCAGGACCCTGAGATCATGACCTGAGTTTAAGGCAAAGGCTTAACCCACTGAACCACACAGGCACCCTGGGGGCAAGGCTTTTAATGACAAACAAGGTGACCAGATTCTAGATGCTCTGTCCAAACTGTGTCGCCTTTGTATAATAAGTTAAAAACAATGTGATTTTTAGAGCACTTTGCTTTGCATTTAAGGAAAATATGGAGATGCCCTAAATTGCCAGAGTATATCTCTTTTCTGCCCCAACATTTGTGAACAATGATGTCTTGAATTGCTGATTGAATCAAACCGCTCCCTTCTCTCTGACAGACATTTTACCCATAGTTCTATGGGAGTGGTGGTGATACAGGATGCCGTTTAGGAGTAGCATAGAGATCAGCAACAGTAGGGAACAGAATAGAAATTGTAATTAGTTTCTGCTCGGCTTCAAAATCAGAGAATCCCCTAAAGGGCAGAAAGTGTTTGATTTGACACTTACCTGTGTAGTTAACCATATATGTCAGCCATTTGGGAAGTATAATAGTCACATGGTTACATGACGAATGATTTAAGAAACATTTGTAAAACGTCCATTACTTGTTGCCTTTAGTATCTCTAGGCCCATTGCTATCTTTTCTCTGTATTGCCATTATTAATATTCTTGTGCTCAAATTTACTTCAAAGAGAAGATTTTTTTTCTTTGTTAATGCTTTTATAGTGACTTTTCTTTTGTTCACCATTAAGTAT